GGTCCAACCTGCGCAGCAGGTCGTACACAGGCTCCATGATACGGAGCAAGATGCCCATGGAATCCCACCAACTGCCATGTCGCACCTGCCACCTGACCCACCTAGCCAAATGACGAACCGAATGGTCCCAAGGGACCATACCCCAACTATCGCCATCCACCGTCCTCTCCAAAGCTGACCTCACTGCCAACAAACGCTCCACCATCGCGAACACGGATGCGAAACGTGTCTCGCAAGGATAGATGAGGCCCATCTGACTGCTCTCCCCCCAAAAGATATGGAGAGCGGCGCCGTGCTCCTTAATGAAGCGCACCACCGCTCTCCCCCTCACGATGATGTCCTTGGACCACGGGCCCGAACAGCCAATGTCTGACAACATCTTGTTGCAGACATGCACTGCGCATGGGAGCCACGTGATCCGTCGATGCTCCGGCCTCTGCTGGGGCCCCTGGAACATGTTCGCCGCGGCGACGTACGCCGAGGCGAAGTCGGTGCAGATGGCGTTCACCCACTTAGGGGGGAAGTCATCGAACACCTTGATCCACCGCGCCAACACATCAGGCGCCCGATCCCGCTCACCCTCCCTCTTCATCGTCTAGACGAGCATCACCCCACGCGACCCGCCGGCAAGGAAGTTAACGATGGGTTTAGCATCGCGTGACTTCCTTCCGTCTGACATAATGGTGGCCCCCGTGACATAGAAAGGAACCCTGACCTCCGCGAGATCAGCTCCCACATCGTCCGTCGTGTGGACAATGGTCTCTATGTCCGCGATCTCATTCTCTGAAGGCCACAACACCTTCACTGGCCCCGGCAAGTCCCTGAAGTGCTGGACGACGTCCAACCATGGCTCGCTCCGGAAGACGTTGAACACCAAGCGCTGATTGTACACAAACCGCAGCCACTTCTTCTTGAACTCCATCTGCCACTTTGAAGTGAACGACTCCGTGATTGTGTTCTGTCTCATCTTCTTCTGTGCTGCGACTGCTGCCGTCGGTCTGTCCCCCTCCTCTCTCTCCTTCCTCTTCCCCGCAGACGTACTTGCCTCAGGCGTATCCGCACCTGCCCGTGCACGAACCGACACGTGCGCCGACGCAAAGTACTGACCCTGCTGCCCCCCAGGCTCGCTGACAACGCCCTTCCCTTGCTCCCTCCTTGACAACCCCGCCCGTGCAACCTCCTCGTTGTCGTCGTCCACGTTGATCTGCTCCCCCGCGTCCCTCATCTCTCCCTCCCCCCACTCGTCCCATTGCGGATCCACCGCAGGCGCCGCATCGTGAAGCTCCTCAAATCGCTGTATCCGCTCTAGGAACTTCTCGGACATCTTGTACTCACTGTTATAGTGGATGTCGACAAGTGCCTCGTCTGTCACCTCCGGACATCCCTTGCCCTGGCGGAAATGGCGCGCTGCCACGAACTGGTTGCCCTGGAACTCGTGGCCGCAGAAAACGCACTTCAACATGTGATTGCCGCGGAATCTCTCGCCGAGACTCTGTCCCACGCGGATGTACTTGTACACGCAACACTTCTTCTGCGCCTTCAGATTCTAGTCCTCCCCCCCATCCTCAAACACCTGAGATTGACTTCGCGGCATCGTGCCCGCTCGCCGATGGGTTCACCGAAGCGGTCCGCCCCTAGCCTGTCCCACAAAGCCCCAACTCCCGCCGGCGTCCCTCCCCGCTGCAGGCCTCGTCGG